GGGGGCAGGGCTCAGGGTGACCAGGGTCAGGGTGACCAGGGTCAGGGTCAGGGTGACCAGGCTCAGTGTGACCAGGGTCAGGGTCAGGGTGACCAGGGTCGGGCTCAGCCAGTGGCCGGCTGAGAGCTGGGTGCTCACCTCCCGCTGCTTCGGCCACTGGTGGGACGTCCCCAGGAGGGTGCCCAGGTGCGTCCTGACCCTGGCGCTGTCGTCCTCAGCTTGAAGGATGAGCCCGTAGAAGACGAACAGGAAGGCCTGGGGGAGGGTGCAGCTTCCTGTCCATCCCCGTCTGCCTGGCGGCCGCCCGGGCTCCTGTGCCACCCTCTGTGGACCATCCACCTGCCTGGTAGTGGGGCTTCGTGGTGCGGCCTGCAGTCCTGCTGCTCAGCAACCCCCCCTCCCCCGTGCCCCCCTTCCCTGCGGTCCTCCCAGCTCCCTCCAGGGCTGGGGCCTCGCGACAGCTGTGCCTCCCATGGACAGGCAGCGGGACTCTGCAGGGCAGGTGGGGCGGGGCGCACCTTCTCGGGGGCCTGCTCCTGGAAGGTCCGGTCAGGCCTGGTGAGGGCCCACAGCAGCTCCTTGGACCACACGTCCACCTTCAGGAACTGGGCCGACTTAAAGGCCACCTACGAGCAGATGGGGCAGCGGGGCTGGGGCCTCCCTTGAGCTGGGCCACCCCGGCGCCTCGGGGCTGACCCATGGTCCTCTTGCCCCTTCCCTCTCCTGAGAGCATATGGAATTGGGGCCTGGCTGGTGTTGCTCAGTGGATAGAGCATTGGCCCGTGGACTGAAGGGTCCCGGGTTCGATTCCGGGTTTGATGCCTGGCTTGTGAGCTTGATCCCTAGTAGGGGGCGTGCAGGAGGCAGTCGATCGATGATTCTGTCTCATCAATGATTCTGTTTCTATCTCTCTCTCCCTCGCCCTCTCTGAAATCAATAAAAACATTAAAAAAATGTGCAGAATTGGGTTCTTTCTCCCTTAACCGTGATGGACTAACCAGGGAGGCACCGAGTCTATTTCCGGGTGGGCAGGAGTGTGCCCGGACTCTGGTTCCCGGATACGGGCCGGCTCCGACTCTCCGTGCTCCCTGGGCCGGCGGGGTCCGTGTCCTGTCCGATGGCCTCGCGCGGGAGCCGGTCCATCACTGCCGCCTCCCCGTGAAGGTGCGTGGCTCCTGCTGCTTCTCCGACGCCTGTGTTAGTGCCTTTAGTGTTCTCCGCCAGCCCATCGGAGCTGTCACCTTGCCGGTCCTTGAGAGTCGCCTGCCTCGGGCTCTGCCTTCCTAGTTTGTCTCTGCAGAAACCTCCTTTGATTCCTCCTCTAGTGTTTGTTGTTGCGAATCCTCATCTGAGGATATTCCCCCGTGGTTTTCAGAGAGTGGGAAGGAGGGAGGGGGGAGGGAGGAAGGGAGGGGGAGAGACATTGACGTGAAGAGTCTCATCGATGGGTCGTCTCCTGCACAGGCCCCGACGGGGGCGGGATCGCACCTGCGACCCAGGTCCATGCCCCTGACCGGGAATCAGACCCGAGACCCTTCCGTGCGCAGTCCGAGGCGCCATCCACTGAGCTGCACAGGCCCCGGGCCCGCCTCCAGTTTTCATTACTTCTTTTCTTCTGCTTATTTTGGGTTTAATTTGCTCTTTTTTTTGTTTGCATTTTGAGAGAGAGAGAGAGCTTCTCAAAGTGAAGGCGCAGGGAGCAG